ACCCGGAGACGGGCTCTGCTGGGAAAAGCTGCCGGGCTTTAGTGCAGCTGTAAACGGTACAGCCGTGCGCAGAGCTGCTGGCCCTGCAACGGGTTCCATTACAAATATGCAAGGGCCACAGCCACGCAAGAGAAGTGCTTGCTCTGCTCTTTAAAGCAAGAGTACTGCGTTTCAACGTATTTTACCTGGCATTAATTCTTCACCATTCAGACTTCTTTACCATGAGCTTCAGCAATGTTTTCTTCCTGCTCAGGAGTTTGGTTACAAAAAGATCCCCAAAATTACCACAAAGCTAGTTTACCTCTGCAGTTGTCTTAAACACCTGCTTGTAGGAATGTTTTAGAACACTAAAACTGCTTTGTCTATTACCATCATGTAACACACACTACTAAAATGCTATAACTCACATTTTGACTCGGCACAATTTTGTCTCTGGCACTACATATGCCCGCATTATGGAACACTCCATATACTCACACCTTTTTTAACCTATAATTGTAGAAGATCTTTAGAAATCACAGCTGACTTAGGAAATTACATTGATCAAATTTTCATCAGAGAACTCCAATAATATTAAAAGGATTTCAGTCTAAAGTGAAATGTTCTACACTGCAGTGCAATATCACCCACATATTAATTCACAGGCTATCTCAGTCTCAGTCTATAAGAGACGAGAAACTCTGAAGACAATTCCATTTTGTCTACAGAACATGGAAAAATAGCAACTTTCTAGCTACCAAACTGTATTTTCCTGGATGAAAACAAGTGCACTTGCAAAGAAAACCATAATGAAATTTAAAAAAATTACTTTAAAATTGTTGGTTAACTTTTACAGTTAAATAAAACCTGATCAGTGCTCTCACACCCTCACACTCAACACAAGATCTTTTTGTAAGGCTTTTAATTTTAACTTTTTTCCCAAACCTTGAAAGATAAAATTCCAGGATTTGACCAAAGAATTCATCAGGCAAGTGGGCAGTTAAAAGGAGTAGAGTTTTTACCTTAACTAAAAGCCTGTAGGCTTTAATAATTCATTAGAAATGCTTAAGCATTCAAATTCACATTCTGTTTTTGACATCCATGACAAGTAAAGGTCTATCAAATATTGACTATGCCAGTTCTAGCTTACTCTCTGCTAACCCAGCTAAAAGAACCCAGATATTGAGCCCCACTTGTAAAAGGCAAGGCACATTCAAGATCCAGCCACTCCACTACCATACCAGCTACTGCTCACTGAAGGCCAGAGCCTAGCACCCTCAAAAGACAAAGATAACTGTGCGGTGCTCTCTACAGCCCAGAGATTAACCATTACCACATTAACCATACGTAGTAGACCAAAGTATCTACAGAGATCAACATACTATTATAGACCACCCTGAGGCTGTGCTACCCTGTCTTTAGTACTGCTCCACCCTTGGGCAGGGCAGCTGCAACCGTGACGCAGACACCCAACACCGCAAGCACTGTGACTGTGAGCTGCAATAAGTGTGAAAGCAACAATGACTTCCATAGGGAATATGGCACCCACCAGCAGAGAGTGGGTGGGTGCCATATTCCCTATGCAGTGCCCTGACAGAGCAGGTGCTCTGCAGCAACCCCGGAAAGTGGTGACTGCTGTGGCCATCAGCAGAGATGTGGATGAGAGCCATCAAAAGCAGAATGATGGATGAGCAAGAAGCCAAGCTTTAACATAAGACTGTTATGGACATGGGGATGCAATCCCTGGAGACAACTCTGTCAAAAAAACCCTCACAGAAATGGAACTGAAGGCACTACCTGGCTCACCACTGTGAGGGATGACTGCTCAGAAAAATCTACAGTATGATAGACACCAGACAGATCCACACCTTAAGCTGGAATTGCAAGACAAGAAAGGCTTGACAGGCACTAAGCTGATATGGCAATGCACTTGTGACTTGCAGGAAGGCTACCAAGGTGCCCAGTGACCACTAAGAGCTATGGAGACATCAAGATCCGAGGAAGGTACAGTGTACAATGCAGAAGACAGACGAACAGAGTTTATACAACGCAGACACATGCTGGAACTGCTTTCCTTGGCACAGTTCTCACATCCTGCTGAGAACTAACCTGCTCCCTTGACTTGCTCCAAGGGAATTGCTCCTGAACAGCTCTGTCCCCTACACTGACTTTAAACCCCTCTCTGCAATTCCCAACTTTGCCCCCTCTCCACAGAGACATCCCCCCCTCAGCATCCTTCCCTCACCTTCACTTCGGAGGAATGGGGTTCTTAAGCCATCTTCCTTGCTACTCGCCAGCAAGCCCAGGCAGGGGAGCCTCAGTACCACGGCCCTGCTCTGGGGCCCACCCACTGCTGGGTGTCCGTGCACCTGGGGCTGACTGCACACACTGACCGTGGTCATGACAGCACCATGGCCCTCACGACCAGGCAAAACCCCCACCGTAGCCTCTGCACTGCAACCCTCCGATGCCAATCTGAGCTCTCCTGCCGTGCCACCTTCAGTGAACAAGAGCCATCCACACCTACCGAGGCGTCTCACTCGCCTCACCCATGTCCAGCAGCCTACGGCATGTGCTCCGAGAGGAGATGCACCCTGCGCCCGATCGTGACGCCCCTGTGACTGGAGAAAGGGGTACAGCAGCACCAGATCTCAAGCATGGTGCGTGGACATGCCAGGACAGCAGCGGAGAGCAGCTGGCAGGAAAGGAAACAGTGCCCTGATGGGCAGGAGCACACCGGGACCCCCCAGGTGAGAGCGGGATGTCCTGCAGCCATAGGGGAGCTCTGGCTGCCAGCCGTGTGGCGGGGCTGCAGGGCACCATCACAAGTGTTCATGCAAGTGGAGAGCTTCGTTCTGGTCAAGCCATGATCAAAATGCTGTTGGAGTAAGTTTTATATAAACCGAAGAAAAATAAACCTTTGATACAAATAAGTAACAAAATTAATGTAGCAGACAATGATGTTTTTTATCTACAATAGCCAACAATACAAAGAGTTAGATATAAAAGGTTTTTTGGTCAAAAGTTTACTATACATTTGGAACATCTGTCCCCCTATCTCAAGACTGATCAAATACAAAGAAATTAAGCATAAAGCTTTCCGGCCCTCAAGAGAGGCCATGATCCTAGACTGAAGAAAAAAACCCTCAAAACCAAAACTACTGAGTCTGTTCTCCAGAACAGATACTTGAATAAAACAAAACTTAGAAAAAAAAAATTAAGCTCCACCACCAAACATATTTGCTACAGAGAGCACTGTGATAAAAAAGGAATGTAGTTGATACTGAAATCCTTATGTTACCTATATGATTTAAAAAAATCTGTCTTTGGGAGAAGTGAGGTCAGTTTGCAGATACTGTCTGAAGATAGTGAAAGGGGTGGGAGGGGGAGAATTCTCATTGATGGGATAACTTTGTATTCATTGCACTGCAAAATGACCAAGGACAATGTTTCTGACTATGAAAAACAAACTCCTTCACCGTCAGAGATTATCCTGAAGCCTGAATAACTTCAGGAAATAATTATATCCTGGGTTTTCTCCCCAGTGTTTTCAGTTGGCATTTCTCTGAGGGAGAGGGAGGCTTTCATGAAGATACTTCATGCTCCCATGCTCTGAGAAGTCGGAAACAACATGATTGTCCCCCCTCAGCAGCCACTTCGTTGTTAAGAGTCCTTCAATTCCCACTGGTCCACGTGCATGGATACGCGACGTACTAATTCCCACTTCAGCACCTGCAGGAAACACCCAAAATAAACGTAGTTAATCCTCTGATGATGTCCACTTCATACTAAATGTTTTTGTACCTCAAAGTAAAAAAATCTGCCTGCCTTTCATGGAACTGCCATTTTATCTCTGCTCCTCTCCAAATACCAGTTCCATTTCCCCAATAGAGAAGCTTGAGGAGATTAACTATAAATTATAATGCTATTATAAATTGCAATTAATGCAATTATAAATTGTAATGCTTATACTTCTGGCTACTACAGTTATTTTCAGAAAGAAAGATGCAAGAGAGAGAGAGAGGCATCTCCTACATTGCTCTTAGACTGATCTAAGGCATAATCCTTAAAACAAGAAAAAAAGCTAAACTAGTAAAGATTATGATCTTGCATCCTTTTTTATCACATTGAGGAGATATTGGAAGACCTCAACTGGAATTTTTCAGTCAAATGGAACACTGTTCCAGCTAACAAAGTAATAGTGTGTAGTAGAGACTTCTGATTTTCTACCTCTTCAAGGAATGTTTCCTTTATCTTCTGCAATTCACAGAAACTGCACGAGTTTATTTAATCAGTTGATACTCAGTTTAGTTCCTACCCTTCATTCCTTAACACAGCAGGACTCACACACTGGACAGCACCTCAATCTGCCCAGCAGGACTGAAGCATAGCATTCTTTACAGCATCATTAGAAGGAGAAACAAAAGGAAAGCTGTTCAGCAGTTTCACATCCTGTATTGAATTGTTCTATCACTATACGCATGCAGCATACTTTATTGCAATTGAATAGAGCTTCAAAGGATCCAAAATATCTTTGTGTGGATGAAATTTCTAGGCGTCAACGTTTTGTACAGTACCTTTCCTGAAAACCTTTTATTAGACAGTAAGATAAGAGACTAATCCTATCTTTCAAGAGTCATACTGTCACATTGTTCACACACCACAAAATTCTGCAGTCACAACCCTACAATATCTCCCCTCTTACCAAGTCCAAAC